AGGGAGGGAGGGAGGGAGGGAGGGGCAGGCAGACATATAAATATGCAGGAGAGATCTTCTACAGGATTCTGTGGCTTCCCCACCCAGCCTTATCAGGGCCACCAAATAATAATACTGAAATAACCAAACCTCATTATTTCTAAAAGATGTTTTTTAAGATATTTAAATGTATTTTATTCCACATGCCACATCAGATCATCCAAATAACCAGAAAGCAGATGTTCATACTTAAAAGTTCTTTCGGACAATATATTTGTTATAATAAATACCAACTGAGTGCACATTCTTGGGGAGAAAATACGGTTGGCCCCTTAAACAACACAGGGATTAGGGGCACCAGCACCCTGCACAGTCGAAAATTCACGTGTAACTCTGGACTCCCCAAAAACTTCACTACCAATAGCCTGCTGTCGACCAGAAGCCTTATCAATCACAGAAACAGTCAATTGACACTTACTGTGTATGGTATTATGTATTATATACTGTACTCTTACAATAACTTAAGCTAGAGAATAGAATGTTATTAAGAAAATCATAAGGAAGAGAAAATACACTTACAGCACTGTACTGTATCAAAAAAAAATCTATTTATAAGTGGACCTGAGCAATTCGAGCCCTTCTTGTTCAATAGTCAACTCTCCGTCACCTGTAGCTGTTCCAGGTGAGGCAAAGTGTGTAAACGCCAGTTCCCTGTGCTGCTGAAGTCTCACCATAATACTATCTTCATGGAAAAGGAAGGAGTTGGAACTCAAAAAGATATCACCCGAGAAGCACCATGGAGAACTGGAAAGACCCCAGGTTTTAGGATTGGACTGTTAAGCAGGAGTTGCAGCCTGGGTTTTGCTCTCAAGAGACGAGTGACCCTTGATAAGTTATTTAGCTTCTCTGAGCTCAGTATCCTCACTCGTAAATTGAGAATGACGATAGTAGCCACCTTATGGGGTTGCTGGGAGGATGAGAAGTAGCAAGAGTGTAAATCACTTAGCAGTTGCTCAAGAATGTGATAGTAGCAGGAATAGGAACCATAGTATCAGGCCAGCTAAAATATTTTTGGTTAGAATGAGAAAAGATAAAACTGTATAGCTTTGATAAACAGAGTCTATATCAAAGGACAATAGCCAAATAGAACATGGTAAGCCTGAGAGCAAAGAATTCTCTGTGTGATCTATCAGTATCTAGTAGGGAACAGCCATCATGACCATCCTAAGATTAGAGGCTAAAAAAAAGGAATCATGAAGTTAAATATTTACATTTTGGAACCTCCAGAAAGCAGGACGATATTTTCTCAGCAAGCTCCCACTGTATGCTTGAAGGAACACAAGTACTGTTTATACTCCACGCATGTTGGATGCACTATAAAATGACAGATTGGGGACAGGTCAGAGCAAAAATGTGACAGAGGGAGAGCTAAATGGACTTCTGCAAGTCTCTCTGGAACATAACTTTCTTAAAGGAAAATGCGACAACACTAATTGTACCTAATCACTGTCCCATCACATTAAGTCCACCCTTGGAAGAGATTTCACAAAGTGCCCTAACAACGACAGGAAACCAGGCTGCAAGCAGCATCCCTGCATTAGGAAGGATCTGTAGGCTTCTCTTTGCTGAAAAATGATAGATGGCCTAGGCAGGCATGTCATTTCCTATTTTATGCTTTCATTTTTCAGACCAAATTGCACTAAACCACAAAACCATCGTGTGCCCCATGATCGATGTCATTGACCACAATCACTTTGGGTATGAGGCACAAGCTGGGGATGCCATGCGAGGCGCCTTCGACTGGGAAATGTACTACAAAAGGATCCCCATCCCTCCAGAGCTCCAGAGGGCAGATCCCAGCGACCCTTTCGAGTGAGTAGCGGCTGAGGGAGGGGCCGCGGGAGAGAGGGCAGGTAACTCATTTCAGGCGCGTCAACTTGGGACCCATGAGGACAATTATCTCTAATAAAATGGATGAAAACAGATGGCAACAATATCCGCACCTTGGAGAAAAGTCAGACCTACAAGTTGTAGCAAATTACAAGCGGCAGCGAATACATGGATCATCCCTTGTCAAACTTTGCTAAGCATCAGAGGAAGTGTGCAGACGTGAGAATCAGGAAAAGGCAGAGTTCACTGAAAATGCATATTCTCCTTGTAGATGTTCTCTTCCTCTTCTCAGTTCTCTCTGTTCTTTTGCCTTTTCCCTAAAGAATCATTTAAATTAACTATTTTACTTTAATGATATAAAATATGAAGCAGTATTTAAGCCTCTGTTTACACCCTGTTGGGAATCATGAGGGAAGGTGGTGTTTCTGAGTAGGTGCTCCCATAACTTAAACTTGGGGAGTTCAATCAAAATGATATATCTGGCATAAATAATCTTTGATAACCCTGCCATTAATTTAAATTCTATATAGATAAGAATTTACAATAATCTATTGGTCTCTACAAAGTTAAGTTCTTTATTTTTTCAGTGTGGACATGAGAATTGTGCATGTCAAGAAAAAGAAAAAATATATATATTTAGCTTAGTTTGCCCAACTCTTAGGACCATTATTGGCGAATGGTGAACTTTCTCCAAAAGTCAGTCCAGAGATTGCCCAAGGCATACTATTATCTATTCCTCCGGCTGTATCCTTTTGATCACATTAAAATTTTAATAAATTTAAAACTATCATATATTTTTTCTTAGGACAAGAAGAATGTCTGTGATTGAGGCTTTGCATACTTTCTAAGGATCTGTTTAAAATGTGTTAAAATCAATATTGTCTTTTCGTTAATAATATGGGCAGTAAAAGTTTGCAGTGGCGAAGCTCCCAAGTATAAAAACCACTTCTGTAACACTAACCCTTTAAACTACAAAAAATAATGTGATAAACATCAAGAAAATGCTTCTTGCAATTCTAGTCTCTGGAAAGATAAACTCTCAGGAATGCTGAGGGGATTTCAGAAGACATTAGCCTGATGAAAAGGGAGAGGTAAAAGATTTATTTTGTAATATGAAGCACACTTATCAAGTATCCAGAATTTCCGAAGGCCTCTTCATACTCTGAAATGGCTGGGAAGTTGTTGAGAAGAAATAATAAAGACCCATTGTTACTCTTCCAAATGCTTTGGCCAAGATTTCAAGGATATTCAAAACTACTAGAAAAGTTCTTTAGCGGTGGAGTTTCCAGTAAGCATTTGAAGAGGGCCCAGCTGGAGAGATAGATGTTTGTCAGGCTTTCCTGAAGTTAACCATCGGAAAGCCTTGGCAAAGGGGTCTACAGGGGATTTAAAGCCAGGTTGGGGCTTGGGGGAGGATACAGAAGGACCCTAAATATGGTGGAACTGCCATTAGATGGCAGCTGATAGGAACGGCCACAGTCTGGTTGCTACTCTCTGAGGTGGCCATGTTTTCAGGGCTAGAATTCATCCAGGATGGTTTTCCAAATACTCTATAACAGTGCCTGGGTTATAATGACCTTCTACTTTACTTCCCCTGCAGTCGCTGAGTGGGGCTCCTGTTCTCAGCGGAAATGGGTTCAAAATGGTACCAAGGGAATCTCAGATGGTGAAAACTATGAAAGTATTCTCAGTCCCTGCACTGGTAGCTGAAATGGTGTGTCAGGCAGACCCTGGCTGTGGCAATCACCATATCAGGCACCTTGCTTAACCCCAGAGCTTGCAGAGTTGGTAACTTTCAGAATTAAATTACCTCTTGTTCCTGTCACCGACTTCGGTGGTTGCTCTCCATCAAGGATTGCATTCACCTCTTGAATACTACTGCTTTTCTGGCTTTTCAGTCCCTTTGATTCCTAGGAATGTGGACACCTTAGCCTTTTGTAATAAATGGAGCTTCCAAGAGATGTCCACTTTGATCTTAAAAATTGCATTTGCCTTCCTGATAATAAAAGAATGGTTACCCAAGCAGCTATGAGCAGTGTATCAGCAATTCCATTATCTTCATAGTCACCTGAAGGTGTTCGTAAACAGACAGACGTGCTTTAGGCTAAAACTTGCTTCTCTAGATGTAAAACTTTAAGATACACAGAGTGAATGCAGTCTATCTAAGTATCTCTCGCATGGACTTTCATGTTTCGGGTGGCTTCTGTAAGGGGTGTGTGGTTTTCTCTGGGAGGCGGGGAGAGGAGGCTGAAAAGACAAGAAGAAAGGAAATGAAGAGGAATATGTAAATGTATTGCAAACCCCAGGACCTTTCATGCAGTATATATGCAAACTTTATCTTTCTGTAACTAGTTTATAGAATGCCTTAAGTGGCAAAACCTCCATTCTCTCATTTATTCTGTCATTATTTGCGTCTCCAGCAACTAACTATTGACTATGGTAGTGGGTTTTTCTCATCTGCAAATTCTGTGAAATTAGTGGGGCATGAACAGTAATTATTAATGAATGGAATTGAAAATTTCATGGTATTATACCAGTGCATAAGTATAAGTGTTATTTCTCAAATACTTGGCTTCAGTTATAATGCATATATGGGTCAAGGTATAAACTGTATTTCTCAATATAGGTCACATGGTCAGAAGAATTCAAAATCTATCAACTTCCTAAAATGGGAATCAAGATCCTCCACAATCTAAGAAGGAAAAGGAAAACTTGCAGATAACTTCAAACACTAAGAAAAAGATTTACTTACATTTGCAAAGGGATCTGGTTTTCAGACAAACTGCTCCTAGAATGTGAGAGAAAATGCAATATTCATAGTTCAAATTATTATATGGCAATCACAATTCCAATTGGATTGAATATATCTGAAAAACATTCTTGTCTTCTGAAAAAAAGAATGCAGTACCTGCCCCCTTTCTGATGGCTTATATCATGATGTGATGCTTTTAGGAAATTCTTATTTGTGGATTTATAAAGTTTCCTTATTCCTGGTTTATCTCTAATCCCAGGCACTTAGGAACGTAAGCCTTTTCTGTGACAAAACGTAATATGCTCCTTTAGTCATGATGAAAAAGAGGAAGATGTTCATTTGCTTTCTGATCACTAACTTCTCCAACCTTATCTCACTATCTAGAAGTTTAGAAAAGACCGGAAGAAATTATCTTATCCAATTTCCCTTTAATACAAGCAACTACTAAATAATGTCCTAGAAAGGTGACTGGCCTCTTCTTGAACTTGTGAGGAAAATAATATTTGCTACCTCAAAAGACGGTCCATTCCATTAGATTGATTGACAGAAACCTTTTCCCTTACATTAGAAAATCTGCTTCCCTAATCCCAAATTCTCCTCCTTGAGATACAAGGCATGTCTAATTCCTCTTTGATGATAGAGCTGTTAAAAGTATTTTAAAACACCTGTTATCCTTATTCCTCCAAAGGGGAAAAAAAGAAAACTTTTTTCCTTTTCTGGGTTAAATATCCCCATGCCTTTCAGGTCCTCCAGAATCCTGCGATAATTCATGCTCATTGATGTAAATGTTCGATACAGGTAAATTCACTTTACTCCTGCAGCCTCGTCCACGTTTCTCCAACTTCTTCATAAGGATAGCATGAAATAGCCCATCTACTGTATCAGGGACTCAGGCCCTAATGTATCAGTCTGTCAATCATAGAAATAAAGTTAATTTCTAGGGAATTTGCACAAAAGGATATCATGCTTCCTTTTGCCTAAGTACTCACGATCAATTCAGCAGCCCATTCAATTTTCAACTTTGTAGAAAGTCTTTGACTTGTAGATTAATTACCTTTCTTCTGTCAGTCTTCCTCTGGCAGATCTCCACAATTCCTCAAGGACTTCTAAAACTTGGGCGTTTTAACCATCATGAATGGAACTCTTGTACATGGTCTTTAGAGAGGACAGACATTCTCTATTTTCCACCCATATATACCACCAATTTCCCAAATTTTAAGAATAAGGATATCTACACCTGGGGGGAGGAGGGATAATAACTTTACAGGCTACAAATGCTTATTTATTCTCTCAGAAACCCCTATGTCTGCAGACATATCAGTGTGAATGCAGTGACTCCTCATCTAGGCCAGTTACCTAACCTAGAAATACCTCAGAGCATGAATAGTGATGCCCTTAGTGGGGTGTGAGTGCAGCCGAGATCTAGCCAGTACTCTGCTCAGAAGGCCATGGACCCAGGCTTAACCAGCCAGGAAGAAAAGGGGTTCTTTCTCCTTTGGTGGGTACAAAAACTTCACTTTATTAATGCAAAGAAGAGAACAACAGATTGAGAAAAAATTTCCTTGTTGCCAGGAATAAACAACAAGTTTTGTCAGATCTGACAGATAGCATTAACTGACGTTCAAAATTTTAAACATCCTACTGAACATCCAAATTCCAGTGGGGATTGAGCAGCACCTTAGTTTTGCTCAGAATTTGAAAGTAAAGATAATCTCTTTTCCTCAAAACTTTTTGCATGTGGGTTTGGACCAAATATTAGTCAGCCTGAACTGAATCAGAATTAGTAAGGAATAAAACTGACTCCCCATGGAAAAAGGGACCGGTCAAACCATGGATGTACTGTAGGATGTAAAGAAAGAAAGGTAACTTTAAAGGTCTTCTCCTTTTGGATTGAATCAGGTATTGCTCATTTTCCTTTTTTTCTGTCCAGCCCCTATTGGGCCACCTTTAAACTAGGACCATCTGTTTGGTGGGGTGGGAGAATTTTTTTTCATACTCTACTTCTCAAGCTAAGTCAATATTCTCATGAATTTTGCTGTGATCTCCAACTAATTGCTTCCAAACTTTGCCCCCTTTCCTCAAAAAATCCAACTGAGGCACATAAATTACCATAGTCTTAGCTGCCTTGGCCTCAACATCCTACCAGTTAATTCTCTATGAATGGGGTTTTAAAACTGTAGTTTCAAACTTTTGAGGGGATTAGGTTGAAAAATACATTCATCAATTTAGTCTAA